TTGCTGACCAAAACTTACCGATTCTCATATTAAACCTCTAGTCAAGTTTGGCAACATCGAATTAGGTCATATAAAGAATTTAATATAAAATTACAATGTTTATTAATAAGTAAATGATAGTGAATTAAGGAGGATAATGTTCTTTAATTTTTTATTCAAAAGATAGTCATTCATGTTTATAACCGTATAATATAATTCGGAGGTTGGGTTGTGCTACAGTAAATAACATTCTTTTGAATGAAAAGTTAAATAATATTATCCACCTCAATCACCTATAATACCATCTAATAATAACCATTATAATATTATACAACATTTTTATACTGACTAATTTGATGTACCATACTTTGCTAAGTGAATAGAAAGTAGAAGGGAAATCCCTCCCTTTTATAAAATAAGGAGTATGCTCTCGTGACGTAATACCTTTCATGGAAAGGTAGATTCGAAAATACACATCGAAAAATCACCTTGAAACAAAAATAATAATAATGATGATCTCAGATCTAGTTAATCCCGAACTCGACCAATGAACTCCGATCATATCAAAAACCCCGATCTCAATACCCCTTAAAAACACCAAAACAAGGTCGGACATTTGAGGTCGAGGCATGTATGTCGACTCTCAGCATTTCTATACGACCTATGGGAACACTAATCCTTCTTTGACCACAATCCCCACCCTGTTAGACTCATTCTTTAACTCAAACAGTGATTAGAATACTTGAGGTAGAACATTAACTCCTTTTCCTACTTTTCCTACGAGGATAAGGATAGTGACAGAATGAGTCCTTCTAGGACTCCACCGCTAGCACCTATAAATACACAACCTGTGCTCATTCTTGAAGTACGTTTTTCATTATCTTCATCTTATAGCCTCACGCACTAAATTCCCTATCTGACTTAAACATCAGAGGGGCAACGAGCACACACCTCATTGCCTTTTTTTGCAGGTATTCAAAGACCGTTCGTGTTCATCAAAGCGAAGTTCAATCATCAAGTTCGAGATTTTTCAGGTAATATTTTTTGGTAGCATCATTGGCGCCGTCTGTGGGAACACGCTACCAAAAGCCATGGTCAATACACGTTCAGGTCTTCTTCTAGCAAGCTCATCCGTCCCGGATAACCCTCCTTCTCCTGAGGAACGCCATATCCCTCAAGAAGAATCGTCAGAGATGCCAGCACCTCCTCAAGCTGCTGTTTCCATTGGAGCTATTGAGGAAATTCGTCAGCGGGTGGCTGCATTAACCCAATTGTTAAGCTAGAGAAATTCGCACCCATCGCATACCCCAACACCTAAAGGCGGCTTCATGGCAGATGCCCAGGCTCGAGTTCGTCATGCAGCCCATGATGACGGTGGGGTTGGAACTTCAGGTGTACCACAAGTGGCATCAGGTTCAAGGTCCGTTACGATGGACTCCACTGAACTTGCTAGAATTATTCAAGAAGGGATAGCAGCGGGTATGCAACAAAATACTTGGGCAGTAACAGGATTCACCCCCAATACACCATTCACTCTAGAAGTCCTCTCGTATCCCCTTCCCGATAGGTTCAAGTATCCTCGGATAAAGAGTACAATGGGACAACCGACCCCATCAATCATCTCAATGTGTACACGGATATCATGAACTTACAGGTTGCACTTGATGCAGTAATGTGCAAGGCATTCCCCCAAACCCTAACAAACACAGCTAGAGATTGGTTTTCCACATTGAAACCGAACTCCATCACCTCCTTCTCAGATTTGGTCGATAAGTTCTCCGCTTTCTTTGCGAGCAGCAAGCGAATCAGAAAGACAGCCGCATCACTCATGCAGATGCGGCAAGGACCCAACGAAACACTGCAAGTTTCATGACCAGGTTCAATAAAGAACGGCTTCAAATCCCTGATCTACATATCACGGCTGCAGTCTCAGCTCTGACATACACCATTAAGTGCAAAGCATTCAAGATGTCCTTGTCTAAGACCCCATCGAAGTCAGTCACCGAGCTACTCACACGGGCTGAGAAGTACATCAATATGGAAGAAACCATAGCCCCAAAAAGGGAAGCTACCTCATCAGGGAGGTTGGATCAGAAAAGGCCGCATGAGTCCAACTTAAGACAAGAGACACCTAGGGACAAACCAAGGAAGGATCCTCCTTCAACGTCTTTTGCCCAGTTGAACACTTCAAGGTCCAACATCCTGATGGAAATCAAGGACTCTAGAGAACTAAAGTGGCCTCCCCGGTTACGATCTCTCCCCGATACTCGTGATAAGAGTAAATACTGTGATTTCCATAGAGATCACGGGCATACAACGGAAGACTGTCTGGCCTTAAAGCGGGAAATCGAAGATCTTATAAAAAGGGGATTTTTGAGCTCTTACATTAGCAATAACAAGTGCCCGAGGAATAATCAGAACGGAGGCAAAGGCCCAAAAGATCGGGGAAACAAGCAACCAACTGCAGGCACTATCAATATCATTGTCGGAGGAACAACCTCGGGAGGAAATTCTAGCAGCGAGCGTAAACAATATGCCAGGCAGCCTCCAATCATCTCGAGATCAGATCTTGGCCGTATAGAGGATATCACTTTTGGAACAGATGACTTGGAAGGCATAGCGTTCCCTCGTGATGATGTCGTTGTCATATCGGCCATCATCGCCAACTTTGAAGTCAAGAGAATTCTGGTAGATAACGGAAGTGCAGCAAACGTACTGTCTCATGAAGCCTTTGTTCAAATGGGGATCTCATCAGAGCAACTCAAGCCAGTCAAAACACCCCTCCAAGGATTTGGAGGTGGGGTCATCACCCTGAAAGGTATCGTCGGGTTACCCTTAACACTGGGGGCCGAGGGTAAACAGGTGACGCAAATCACTACCTTTGAAGTTGTCCGTACGCCAATGGCTTACAACGCCATATTGGGAAGACCACTACTCAGCAGAATTCGAGCTATTGTCTCAACTTTCCACCTAGCTATGAAATTCCCTACTTCTAATGGAATCGAGGTAATCCGAGGCAACCAAACGGTGGCCCGACAATGTTATGTGACTAGCGTTCGAAAAATCAAAAATGACGTCATGCAAGTTATAGAGCTCGAGCTCGAGCACGAAAATCAAGGGAGGCTGGCTCCGTTGGAAGGATTGGAAGAGGTTGAGATTGAGCCTGGAAGAAAAGTCACAATTGGTCAGGGGTTAGATACAGCGGTCATGTCTGAACTTCTAAGTTGTCTCTCCCATAACATTGATGTATTCGCTTGGAATGTTGAGGACATGCCTGGAATTGATCCAGAGGTTGCAGTACATAGACTTAACGTAAACCCAAAAGCAAGACCTGTGACGCAAAGGAAGAGGTAGTTCGCACCAGAAAGACGAGAAGTCATAAAAGAGGAAATTGCCAAACTTGTTAACGCACAGTTCGTTCGAGAAGTACAATATCCCGAATGGCTTGCCAACGTGGTTCTTGTCAAGAAAGCTAATGGAAAGTGGCGAGTTTGCATTGACATCACAGATCTGCATAAAGCATGCCCCAAAGACAGTTATCCCTTACCTCGAATTGACAATCTGGTAGATAGCACATCAGGCCATATGCTATACAGTTTCTTGGATGCTTTCTCAGGGTATCACCAAATTCTCATGGCAGAAGAAGACCTCGTTCATGGCAGATTCAACCATCTACTGCTACAGGGTCATGCCCTTTGGACTGAAGAATGCTGGAGCAACATATCAAAGGTTGGTGAACAAGATCTTCGCCAAGCTAATTGGGAAAACGATCGAAGTATATGTGGATGCTATGGTGGTTAAGAGCAAACAGTTGAATAGCCATGTTTCTGATCTAGAGAAAGTGTTTGCTACGTTACGGAGGTACAACATGAAGCTCAATCCGGCAAAGTGTGCGTTTGGGGTGGCATCTAGAAAATTCTTGGGTTTTATGATCATGCACAGAGAAATAGAGGCGAATCCTAATAAAATACAAGCTCTGATAAGTATGGAGGCTCCTAAGTGCAAAAGGGACATTCAGAAGTTGACAGGTCGTGTATCAGCATTGAACAGGTTTGTTTCCCGGACAGCAGACAGGTGTTTCCCCTTTTTCAAACTACTTAGGGGAAATAAAGGTTTCGACTACAACGAGGAATGCAGCTTAGCTTTTTAGGAGCTCAAGCAGACGTTATCAACGCCTCCGGTCCTTACTAAACCCGAACCCGGTGACACGCTGCTATTATACTTGGCCGTTTCTCACAACGCATTAAGCGATGTCTTGGTAAAGGAAAAAGGAAGAGTTCAGCAACCTGTTTACTATGTAAGTAAAGTGCTCCTCGATGCAGAAACACGATACACGCTTGCGGAACAGCTCGCCCTTGCTTTAGTAATAGCTGCCAGAAAATTACAGTTGTACTTCCAGTCACATTCAATTGTTGTGCTCACCAACCAACCTCTCACACATATACTTCAAAAGCCGGAGGTCTCAGGAATACTGCTGAAATGGGCAATTGAACTCGGCGAATTTGACATAGAGTTCAAGCCACAACCTGCAATCAAGGCCCAAGCTTTAGCCGACTTCATAGCTTTAGCCGACTTCATAGCAGAGCTTACTCCGAGATCCTAAAAAACACCGACCAAGGGCTCGAACTCGACCTTAGAAATATGGGAGATTTTTGTTGACGGAGCATCCAATAGCTCAGGCTCGAGGGTCAGCATTATCATCACAAGTCCGGACAAGACTACGGAGATACAATGCGCTCTCAAATTTGAATTTGAAGCTACCAATAACGAAGCAGAGTACGAAGTTGTTGTTATAGCCCTGAAACTCGCGAAAAATCTTGAGTGCGAGCGCGTTAAAGTTTTCAGTGACTCATAGCTAGTGGTTGGACAAATCGAGGGGTCTTTCGAAAGAAAGGATGAAAAAATGAGCGTTATATTGTTTGAAAGTACATAACCTCTAGAGACAGTTCGTAAGTTGTGAAATTCTGAAAGTAGCCAGAGCCGAAAACGCCAAGGCTGATGCATTGTCCAGACTCGTCTTCATGGGTGTGGACGGGCTCGATAGAACCGTGCACATCAAGATGGTTGCAGAACTAAGTATAGCTCAGAAGCCAAGTGTCATGGACATCGACCATGAGCCCTCCTGGATGGATCCAATAGTTGATTACATAAGTAATGGTAACATTCCTGCAGACCCTCAACTTGTCAGAAAGCATTCGATATAGAGCTGCTAGATATTGTATAATCGAAGGAGTCCTGTTCCGCAGGAGTTTCACACTCCCCTATCTAAGGTGTCTCAAACATTCCGAGCCTCTTCAAGTAATGACTGAAGTTCACGAAGGCATTTGTGGAAATCACCAGGGAGCCCGCGTTCTTGCATATAAGTTGATAAGGTATGGATACTACTGGCCAAGTTTGAAGAAAGATGCCACAGATTATGTCCGGAAGTGCGACAAGTGCCAAAAGTTTGGCCACATCATACATGCTCCTGCTCAAGAACTAACATCCATTCACTACTCGGCTCCCTTCGAGCAATGGAGAGTTGATATTCTTGGGCCTTTCTGTGGCAGTGGAGTATTTTACAAAGTGGGTAGAAGCTGAAACTCTAGCAACAATTTCAGAGCCGAAGCTCAAGTCATTCATATGGAAGTCCATCATATGCAGGTTCGGGATACCAAAAGTCCTCATCACAGATAATGGAAGGCAATTCGACAATCCCCAGTTCAAGAACTTCTGCGCCAACAATGGGATTGATCATCGCTCGACCTCGGTCTCACACCCACAAAGTAATGGGTTAGCCGAAGTAACTAATCAGACCATATTGCGGGACCTCCGAACAAGGATAGGGGACGCCAAAGGTGACTGGCCTGATGTACTGCCTTCGATACTATGGGCATATAGGACTTCGCATAAGACAGCAACTGGTGAAATGCCATTCGTGCTTGCTTTTGGACTTGAGGCTACCATCCCAATCGAAGTTAGCCTCCCCACAATAAGAAAGCTCAAGACAAATAGGGAGACACAAACTATCGAGCACCTTGACTTGTTTGAAGAGGTAAGGGAGCAAGCCTCACTTAGGACTGCAAGTTATCAAAACAGAACTGCAAAACACTTCAACAACAAGTTCCAGACCAGGAGATTCAGAGATGGCGATCTTGTCCTTAGAAAAGCAGAAGCCGCCGGACACCAACCAAGGAAACTTGGGCCGACATGGGAAGGACCTAACGAGGTCATAAGAAAACTTAAAGGTAGAACCTATAGCCTCAGAGACACATTGGGGAAACCACTCCCAAGGTCATGGAACGCCAATAATCTGAAAATATATTATACGCGACTAGCTATAGCTATAATTTTCCTTTAGGGCTTGCATGCCGACTTCATGTTTTCTTAATTTCGTTTTTACTTTTCGGGCTCTAATGCCCTGTTAGCTCATGCTCAAATAAGCTTGGGGTATCAAATGCTCTTTAGTCTTTTTAATAGGACATAGAATTTTCTTTATGATGTTGATTCCCTATTAAATTAGCGTAAGGCCGTGCCCTGCGTATGCAGCTAGTACTTTTACAAAATTAGCATAAGGTCGTGCCCCGCGCATGCAGCTAGTACTTTTACAAAATTAGCATAAGGCCGTGTCTCACGCATGCAGCTAGTACTTTTACAAAATTAGTATAAGTCCGTGCCCCGCGCATGCAGCTAATACTTTTACAAAATTAGCATAAGGTCGTACCCCGCGCATGCAGCTAATACCTTTACTAAATTAGCATAAGGTCGTGCCCTGCGCATGCAGCTAATACTTTTACAAATTCCATACATGACCTCAAACAGTATGCCCGACCTCATCAATCCCAGAATAACGAGCAATGAAATAATCATTAGATCGAGGTCGGGCATGATATAATTGCCCACGTATACCATCCCCGACCTTACTGATCCCAAAATGCTCAACCAAGCATGAATTCTGAGATCGAGGTCGGGCATGATATAATTGCCCACGTATACCATTCCCGATCTTATCAATCCCAAAATGCTCAACCAAGCATGAATTCTGAGATCGAGGCCGGGTCATGATATAATTGCCCCTCATATAACCATAATCGGCATTCCCGACCAATTGGTCTACCCTCGATATAAGCAAGAAATCAAATCAATACAAACACTAGTGCACGAACTAGTTGCCCCCAGCAATACCCCACTGAACTTGGAAATTGACGCCGCACGATCAGTATTGTTTAAAGGATCAATGTATCCATAGTTCAATGATAAGAATTACACTCGAACTATTTCACACACTCGAGCTATGAGTTAAACGATTGTGACATGTGACATACACCAACAACCGAACTCTAAACTATAATAAAAGTTCGAATTCAAAATTACAGTACGCGAACACAGGATCAACGCTCGATCTCGTAGGAATAATAAAATGCATGAACTGATAAAATTCTTTCTCAAAGACAAAAGCCCAGTTCGGGCAATAAACTTTGCATTTAATCAAAATCAAAATAAGCTCATAAACCCAAATCGGGCAGACAACATGAGCAAAAAGAAAAAGTTACAAAAATGTCAGTCTCGGGGTCGGGGAAGGGCCTAATCTTGGTCGATGGGGTCACTCCCCCTCCATTGTCGGGGGTCTCAGCATCGTCGTCATCATCATCCCCGTCACCTTCAGAGGAGGATAGCTCGAGGTCCTTAGCGAGCTCGTTCACAGTCTTTAACTCCTCGACTATGGGCTTCAAATCCTCGGGGAGCTTGGTCCTAAGGAATGAACGAGCTAGCCGCAACCCATAGTAATACAAGCCAAACCCGTACTGACCTAGGAGAGTCTTGAACTCATCAGACTTCTTAAAGTCATCGACAGTCTGAGCTTGGACTTCTGCTCGAACATTCGCAAGCTCCGCCTCAAAAGCGCTTCGGGACTGAATGAGCTCAAGCTTCGCCTCCTCAGCTTCGTCCCTTGCCAACCCGACCTCGTCCTCAGCCTTCTTAAGGTCCGCATTGGCCGCCTCCAGGGCCCTTTCAAGCTGCTGGACCTTCTTAAATGCAACCTCGCTCTTAACCTCAAGCTCGGCTATGCGATCTGAGGAATTCAATCCCCTGAGCCCCAGACCCCGAGCTACGATTAGTGTCTGCAAAAACAAGTATGGAGCCCGACGTTAGTACAAATTAAGAAACCAATCAAGGGTACCAGAAGCATTCATATTAAAAACCAACCTTCAGTGTAAGGAGCTCGAGAGTTCGAACTCTTTCATTCATCTCGACCTCCTTCTCATACTTATCAACTATGCCCTGGATGAGAGCACAGCCGGCGTACTCCTCGAGCGGCTTGGTGGGCATATGGTCGTCATCATCAGCTAAGAGGTTTGACCCATAACAAGGGGTACGAACTCGAACTTGTTGTTGGGGGGTTGGCTGCCTTGGAGGGGTCGGGTTTTGTGAGCTCTGCCCCAGGTCCACCATGGTTGGACGGAGGCCTCCCGTGCCCGCTTTTTTCCTTTGGACGAGGTCGTCGTCGGGGCTTTTGACTTCGGGCCCTTCGCCTTTTTGTGAACGTTGTTCAATAGGGCTGACAGATCGAAAGACATCTCAAATTCTACGAGTAGAAATACAACAAGGCATTAGCTCGAACTATAGATCGATGTTTACACATGAAATAGCAAAGATTACATAAAAAGAAAGATCGTACCCTCGAGGCCTTTCACGTTAGCAAGGTCGAGGGTGTCGTCTTCAAGCAAATAATCGATCTTGTCTGCAAGGGGGTCGTAGTTCACTAATCTCAGCCTATCTCTCTCTAGAACCTCAAAATAGGTCTAACCTTCATTAAACCTATCCTTATCGGGGACTTCCTACCTCGGGCTAAAACGATGATCGAGGTCTTGAGGCTTCACAAAAAAGAAACGTTCCTTCCAACCCCTAAGTGAGCTCCGGGTATCAGGAGTTCTAAACCCCCCCCCCTTGTGGATAAATAAACAAAACAGTTATACCCCGGGGAGAATTTCATATCAAAGACCATTCGAAGTAGGTTGACCCTAGGTTCAACCTCGAGGCACCTACACAGTATGAAGAAATACACTAATAACCTCCAACCGTTCGGGGCTAGTTGACCCGGACACAAGTAGTATGAGGTTAGAAAATTGATGAAAAATGGGTGAAGAGGCCACCTAAGCCCGGCCTTAAGAGCGTCCCTAAAAAAGGTCATCTCCCTCTCCCGAGCTCCTAACACGGTCTCAGTTGGACCTGGGGTTCTAATTTCACAAATTGGCATGATCCCGAACTCTCTAGCTATTTTAATAATTACATGTTCTTTGTACTTGGTCAGCTCCTTAGGGTATGTCAGGACATCGATATGGGAGTTAACAGGGATGGCCATAGGAATAATGGAAGTATTTACATCTTCAGGCCTATCACTATGGTTCGAGTCTCTAGGAGCCTGGCTACTATCACTACTACTTGACCCAGTACTATCACTACTCGACATTACACTATAATCAAATAAAACAACTTAAGGGCTCGAACTCTTACCTCTGTGGATGATCGCTCACAAACCCCACTAATCCCCGAACTCGAGCTCGATGTACTGGGAGATGAGAGTTAAAAGTGAAATATGGGGGTGAAAGTTGGGGTATTTATAGGGGATTGAGGAATATCAACGATCATGCAATCTCAATCCTTGGACCAAGACACGTGGCGAGAATCTAAGGTCGTGCCCTGACATTACATGTGGCGGCCATCTGAGATCGCTCTCTGACATCCCATCAAACACTCGACACGTGGAAAAACACCTGGACGTTCATGCCTCTACATCTTCGCTCGTTGACCAGGACTGGACGGAAATCTATGACCTCGATGTACGGGGGCCAGTGATGATCTCAGATCTTGTTAATCCCGAACTCGACCAATGAACCCCGATCATATCATAAACCCCGATCTCAATACCCACTAAAAACACCAAAACAAGGTCAGGCATTTGAGGTCGGGGCATGTATGTCGACTCGTCAGCATTTCTATACGACTTATGGGAACACTAATCCTTCTTTGACCACAATCCCTACTCTGTTAGATTCCTTCTTTAACTCAAACAGTGATTTGAATACTTGAGGTAGAACACTAACTCCTTTTCCTACGAGGATAAGGATCGTGACAGAATGAGTCATTCTAGGACTCCACCGCTAGCACCTATAAATACACAACTCGTGCTCATTCTTAAAGTACGTTTTTCATTATCTTCAACTTATAACCTCACGCACTAAATTCCCTATCTGACTTAAACATCGGAGGGGCGACAAGCACACACCTCGTTGCCTTTTTTGCAGGTATTCAAAGACCGTTCGTGTTCATCAAAGCGAAGTTCGATCATCAAGTTCGAAATCTTTCATATAATATTTTTTGGTAGCATCAAATAATAATAAAGAAAAATAAAAATAAAAATTGCAGATTGAAAATATACATTGAAGAATCACCTTGAAAATATATATATATAAATCTTCCAATCATGCAAAACAAAAAATATACATAGAAGAATCACCTCGAAAAGGCAAAAACTAAAATAAGAAACAACTACGGTTTTTACTTTTACTATTGTTAAATCTCATTATAAACAAGCTGGGTTTATCACTTAAAGACAAACAATTTTTTTTGGACTTGAAGAGATTGGCCGTTCCCTTTCTCCAGATAAGATAACCTCGACATACACAAGAACGGAGGATTTTAGAATTTTATCCAATCACCCTTAAATTTCATGTATATTTTGCATTGAGTTGTTGTAATGCTCACCAACGCGAATGCATGAAACTATCATTCAAACCTGTAATTTATTGCAATTTGCACGTGTGACGCGGCTTTTTCTAGCGAGTCGACTTCATCTCCCCCAGGAAATTACCTCGAGGTCTTTCCTTCGTGGACCAAGAACTGATCTTTTTTTCTCACCCTCAAATATCTTTACAGTTTCCCTCAGTGGCTGCCAAATTATCTGACTAGTAAACAAGTTCATAAATTTAGCAAAAGAAATATGAAAGTAAAGAAATAAAGAACAAAGAAATTAATCTTGACAAAGGTGGAACAAGAAGCAAAAACTAATACATTTTCATCAGTATCAGCTTTGAGGGCCATCTAAGTTTCTTTCGATGTAAGTTGCAGGCTCAGCACTTGTTTTGCTTCTGACATTTCAACTTCATATGCACTGGTATTTGAGACAGTTCCCTTCTCCGTGCTAAGATTTTTCATTACAGTATGATATGAATTACAGCTTCAGTAATTGTACCTATGGCACACAGAAATCTACATTTTCCTCTTTATTTTGGAGCAATTCATCAATATTAAAGAATTCAAAACCACATTATGTCACATGAGTAATGTAATCAGTCAATTTCAACTAAATTCCAGTAACATCTCTTTCTCTCTCTCTCATTTTTCCCCACTGAATATACATGAATAGGTAAACATCAACAAAATCTTCTGTTATAAAAAATAAGAAAGAGAATAAAAACCTTGACTTTGGAGAGAACAAGCATAGCATGTTTTTCTTGCCAATCAGAGAGGTCCTTCCGTATACTTCCATCACTTCCACCACCATCAGCTCCTTCATCTGAACAACAATAAAACCAGTAATTGCACACATTAGACACACACGCACACACATATCTATGCACAAAATCTGTATATATAAATGTATTGAATACCAGGAAGAGTGAAATTGTTGAAGGTTTCAATAGAAAAAGATTTGACGAATTCTATCAATTGATCAGTGATTCCATACAATTGCAACTCTTCCTCTTCTTTGATTAGTACTTGAGAATTATGGCTGTTGATTGAAGGCAAAGAGGTATTTTTGAGCTTCGAAACGCTGCGTCGAACCCACGAGTATACATCCATGGCCTTCTTCCTCGTGCGTTGGTAGTTGGCACAACCGGTTTATTTCTTCTATTTGGGGTTTTGGACTAGTCCAAAATTTGCAATTGATTTTGAAAATATACACAAAATCACTCTTGAAACGTTTCAACTATTGTAGTGGGAGTGGACAAAATGTTCTAACCAAACCAAATCAAATCAGAACTAAACCAGATCTAGTGGTTCGGTTCGATTTTACCAAAAAAATTTAATGATTTTGGTTCTTCAAACCGAGAACCATTTGGTTTCGGTTCTAATGCTAGAATCAATAACCAAATCAAGAACCAAACATAATTTATAATTTTATTTTTTGTATGAATCTAATTTTTATATTAATGGAAGTTAGCTCAATAGCCATTATTTTTTATGCCAATTAAACGTGTTTAACTCATTAATTTTGTTCCTCGTGCGTGGTAGTTGGTACAACTGGTTTATTTCTTCTATTTGGGGTTTGGACTAGTCCAAAATTTGCAAAGGGAGGAAATTGATTTTGAAAATATACACAAAATCACTCTTGAAACGTTTCAACTATTGTCGTGGGAGTGGACAAAATGTTCGAACCAAACCAAACCAAATCAAATCAGAACTAAACCAAACCTAGTGGTTCGGTTTGATTTTATGAAAAAAAAATTAATAGTTTTGGTTCTTCAAACCGAGAACCATTTGGTTTCAGTTCCTATTTGGTTCTAATGCTAGAACCAAGAACTAAATCAAGAACCAAACATAATTTATAATTTTATTTTTTGTATGAATCTAATTTTATATTAATAGAAGTTAGTTCAACAGCCATTGTTTTTTACGTCAATTAAACGTGTTTAACTCATTAATTTTTTTCTCTAATAGACATAGTCATTCAACCCAAAGAGTTAAGAGAAACCCAAATTCCCAATTCCAATTTGTCTCTCACATTCACCGTCTCACTTTAGTCATTGACGTCGCCTTCCAATCCATCATTGTATTTGTCTCTGAGGACACTTTGAATTCTGAGAAAGTGAGGTTTGTTTGTTTATAAATACATATAATTTATAAACGAAAGCGACCCTTTTGTTTGAATTTCTCTATTTTTTGAATTTCTCAAAACTTACCTTCACAGTGCCACAGTAGAGGAAGATATGCAGTACCACCACCACTTTTCCCAGTTTGGACACAGATATCATCATCCCGCACCATTCCTCGTTTAGACAATGCAACTTTTCCTTGTTTGCACACGGACATCATCCCACATTTGGACAAAGGATGAAATTGAACTCGATATTATTAACTTCAACTGAGTTACAGTGCCCACAAGGATGATCGCACAGTTGACAAAATATACACACATGGGGGTCAGGATTATTTTTTTCATGAGGGACCCACGCCTAAACTATGAGTGCACGATCATCCACGCAATAAATGACGCGGGTTGAGTGGTTTAATTCTATTAAATTTAGGCAATGACTCATTCATTTATATTTTATTTGTTAGTTTGGACTTTTATAGTCTTGATTATTGATAATTTGAACTTGTTAAATATTTGATGCTTATATTTTTTATTTAAGTACGTATTACTAACTTATAGATATTGTACAAAACTAAAAACTTAAGTAATAGTACTAGTCTACTAGAACCAGACCAAATCAAATTAGAACTGAATGGTTCGGTTCGGTTCCACTTCTTAAAAAAAATCATTCGGTTCTATTATCAAAAAAACCATTAGTTCATGGTTCAGTTCGGTTCTCTTAGAACCAGAACCAAATGGAACCACGTCCACCCCTATATTGCAGCCTTTTCTTTTCTTTTCTTTTCTTTTCTTTTCTTTTCTTCTTCTTTTCTATTTTTTTTTCCCCTAAAAAGAACACCGAAATAACTTCTTCTTTTTTAATGATCGTAAATGTTCGAGACAGCTTATGCCATCTTGACTAATCTCACGGGATCCTTAAATTTACAGTCGAATACTTATATCTCAGTGGTCCTGAAAAAACTCAAACTGGTGTCCATTTGGAAACAAATTCAATGTCTGACCACTGAATTATCCATCAGGTTAAAAAAACCGAAATAACAAGTCATTGTAATTTTCATAAAGTGTTTTCCAATAAATTATGTAAAAATCAAAAATTTCAAATTTTTATCTTAAAAAAACAATTTATTGCCTAATTTCCTTCTTTATGTATTTCATCGTAGAATTATTATTATTCTTTCTGTTCGAACCAGTCCGCTTTATGAGCCAAAGCTTATCGAGTCTAGTTGAAAATTTCATAATTTTTCCTTGTATTGAAACATTCAAACTCGGTATAATTACAAATCGTCACTTATATAACAAAATAGATCTTTGAAAAAGACTTGTAAAAAGAGAAGGAGATCCACAAACAAGAAGATGCAATCAATATTGTAAAATAGTAGAAACAAAGATAACAAGATTAAGCATCTCGTCATTCCATAAAAATCTTGTCCCCTCAATCCTTGTGGAGAATAACCAAAAATAATAATTATTCTCAATCAAAAATTTGGACTACTAGGTAGATACCATGGAGAAATATTTGGTAATTCTATTTCATTGTCTAACTTAAAATTTTGATCTATTTTCTCAATACTTGGGGCTGCGAAAAGTAAATAACAAAATTAAACGAGAAAGAGAGAGAAATAATTATTATTTAGCCCCTCATTTGGCTCCCATTTTTAAAATTTCATTTTTTTCCTCATTTCACGGAATTCACGATTTTTATCAAATTTTCAACCACACATTTCATTAAAAAAAAAATCTATTTAAAATCTGATTTTTATCTCAAACAAATTAAGGTGCTTGTTCAATTTGTGTTAATGTAAAATGTATATGAAAAATATAGTAATTGTGACCAATTCTAACAATCAATCGAATAGAAGCACGAATAAAGAAAGTCAACCTTAAATTTATCGAATACATTTACCCTAGAAATAAGAATGGAAGTTTCATCATTCAAACTATTTGACAATATAAAGTTAACCCCAACTCACAATGCAAACAAGATTTTTATCAGAACTTGCAATGAAGCCAAATTATGAAACAAAACCACATTAATTTTCCAAGAGAAAAGAAGAAACATAACACCAAATGTTGAAGAATCCCAATATCGCCTTAAATTAAAGAAAGATTGGGGTACGATAACAAGGGAGGTTTTTTGTTTTTTGTTTTTTTAAATATTAGAAACTTATTACATTCGACAGAGAAACTCCTAATTTATGCTGATGATTTGGTATAGAATCGGATGCCAACAGCGACTCCCAAGATAAACAGAGGAACTAAGAATTGGAGGAGCTTGACAATAAATTCTGATGTTTTGTCCTGGTTGTAGTGAGGCTGCTTGGGAGGAGTGTACTTGGACTTGCTCGGGAGGAGTGTACTTGGACTTGCTCGGAATGGTTGACTTATCTATTTCGCCCACGAAAAGTTCTTCCATCTGAACCCTTGCACTGCTGCTGTGGCCAACGTCCTCAAAATCATCTGTGGCGTCCTTTCCTGCCGAGAACAAACCATCAAACTTATCCATCAAACCAGCAAGACATCGAACGTTTAAGCGTACTATACTTAAGTTTCTTCTTTGAAAGTAACTCTTACCTTAGTGTCAAACTAAATAGATTACTCATTTCCAACTTCTACCAATAACGTTTTTAGCAGAGGCTCATAGCTAAACATGCTCTTTGATGTAGACAAAAATCGAAAATATCACAAGATAGTATTACCTGTGGCAGACAACAAAACTTCGTCGCCACCAGGATGATCTTCCAAGAACTTCGTCACGTCATAAACCTATCAAAGTATTACAAACACTTCTAACATGCGTGAGAAAATGCAATAAAATGCAGAACAAAAAACATGGTAGATTTAGATAGTAAGATCACACCCTTAAATGAAGCCATAATATCTTCTCATAATTCACTGGAACTTTTCAATCTAACTGCTAAATGATCAGGAGCTTCCACGTGTTATTTTCTGGTTTGCTCATCTACCATACTTACGTATAACGGAAATATCTAAAGTCTAAATATGCAGGCGACATATGCTGTCTCAAGATTAAGTGCCAGCCAAATGCAACTATAATTTATTAGTAAGGAATTAGTCTTACGGACTTATGGCGATTTTACCATGACAGATGAAGTAGTAAGAGCACAAATTTCTTTCAAGATTCCTCAAAATTTTTAATTGTTGTGTATGTGACTCATCTATAATGGAACACAGGTTTACTAGATCAAATAGGGTGATGCGGGAGCGGAGTGGAGTGAGGGGAGTGTAACGATGACATCAGCCTTGTAGGTTTTAATTCACCGTTTGTTTACTAGGGACGCTGAATGGGTTGGGGGTGTAAGGGCAATGCCCCGCGGTACGATACAGGGGTATATTACTTGTACGGATCTTAAAGTTTTGTATGGGCTTGGGCTAGGGTTAGTATAAATACTAATAATGTAACCCTATTATTCATACTAAATAAAAATTATCTTTGCTTCGCTCCTCGTGAATGTAGGCAAATCGTCGGACCACGTAAATACTTGTGTTGATTTCTTTCTTTTATCTCTTTATTATTTTGCAAAAAATTTAACACTAACACAGTGAACAATGAATTAAGTTGAGAACAACAAGACAAAAGAGAGAGATTCGCTCGGTCAAGTTGGCTACAACAACAATAAGCTGTTCCATTAGAACTACAAGTGCCAAACTTTGAGTAGTTTACATTAAAAGGAGAAGTTTTGGATAAGACTCGCCGCATTATTCCTCTAAATTCTAAATAACAGATCAACAATAATGGAATTTCATCTAAGTACGCGATGCCAGATGGCTATTTCCAACACAGCAACGCAACATATTTTGTATCACATCCTGAGAATCCCATGAGGATTTTGATGGTGTTGAGTGGCAACAAATTTATAATACAAAACCGCAAAACTTTCCTGTATATAATCCCTTCAAGGAATCAATGTAATGAATTCTTGTTCTTAACTAAGTCCAGTTTTCGGCTAATCTCAACAACTCAACTACTAATTTTCTAGAAGACAATAGAAAACATTACATTATCACTTCATCACAGACAAATTCAAACTACAGCGAGTTATGTCCAATAAAATGGTTAAATAAAAAATACTAAATTTTCCAAAGAGCATGAGAATGGAACACTGCACAAGTACAGAGTGTAAGTC